TGGGATGGGAATGGGAAATAGGAATGGAAAATTCAGTGAAAATGGAGAGGAAATGGAAATGGAATCGAAAGGGAAGTGGAAAGGAAGTGGAATGGAAATGGAAGTTGAAATGGAAGTGGGGTGGAACTGGCGTGGAGTGGAAGTGGATCTGGTTCCAGCAGCCCCCCCTGAAGGCATCAAATCTGGTGCCAGCAGCACATCACGCAGCCTGTCCTGTTTTGAGGCTGCTCCTCCATCTCCCACCCTCCTTACTCCATTTCCCTTTTCTCCTCCATCTCCACGGGGGCCGCAGGGCAAGGAGGGGGGCACCAACCATGTCCTTCCAGCAGCGCTGCGGCGTCGGCCGGCTGCTGGCAGCAGCTATTCTGGGCCCAGATCGATGGCAGCGGCGGCACTGGGAGGAGGAGAGCGGGGCTGGGGGACTCCGGGGAAAAACCCTGGGTCTGTGGCTGAGCCCAATACTCTCAGCCCTATTTACAAGCAGGGACCACCTGCGGTCAGGGATGAGTGAATGGGATTTTTTCAGGAGTTTCCCCCATCCCTTCCTGCTCCCCAAAGGGTTTCAGTGCAGTCACTGCCACCATCGGTGCCGACAGATGTGATACTGAAGGCCACAGCAATGGCATATCCTGGCTTCAGGCAATGTGGGCACAGAAGGGCAGGAATGGCACGTGGGGTGGGCAGGGAGAGGTATGACCCACGGCATCTCCCCAGGAGTGCTCCTTGTTTGCTCTCCAACTCCTCAATTATTTATCTCTGCTGAAACAAACTCAGCCAAGCAAACTTCATGCCCCGTAGTGACACCGCCAGTTATTAAAAATAAAATAATAAAAATTCCCCAATGAGTCACTTAAGATGTACATAATCAGCTCCAACTACAGCCGTAGTGGTGTTCATGAGTTGCTGCTGAGTGCGGGGAGGGCAGGGCCGGGGCTGCATTTCCCAAAATGAATACACGGGGAAGGGTAAACCCCGAGTGTCCCCACTGACAGGTGGGGGTGATTGTAACACACATTGGAGGGGGGCCAGAAATCAGCCCCAGCCTTGATATGGGGCAGCTCCCTGCAGGGGTGAGGGTCCTGCACTGGAGGTCCCTGTGGGATTGCCACAGATGGGGGGAACCACGGGCATGGGGAGATGCGGGGGGATGTAGGGGGATGTGGTAAGATGCAGGGGATGAAGGGGAATGTTGGGGAACATAGGGAACGTGGGGCAATGCAGGAAAGTGTGGGGAGATACAGGGAATGCTGGAGATGCAAGGATGCAAGGGGATGTGAGGAGATATGGAGATGCAAAGGGATTCAGGGTATATAGCAAGGATGTGGTGAGGTTGTGGGGGTGCAGGGATGTAGGGGATATAGAGAGGATGAGGGGGATGCAGGGCTGCAGGGTGATGTGATGAGATGTGGGGGGATACAGAGGATGCAAAGATGCAAGGGAGATAGAGAGGATGTGACGGGATGTGGGGATGCCAGGATGCAGGGAGAGTTTTGGGGATGCAGGGGGATGCAGTGGGCTGCAGGGGCTGTGTACAGGTGGGGGGGCTGCAGGAAGCCCACCCGTGGGCTCGGCCCTCACCTTGCTAACATGTGGCCCCATGCAGCCGTTCTCTGCACACTGCCAGCATGACTGGCTGTGCTTCTTCTCAAGTGCTGGGAAAGCAAAGGGCATAATTTTAGGAGAAGCGTGTGAAATCTGTTCTGGCAGATCATCCAGAGAGCTTTCCAGCGAAAAGAAAGCATTAACATTTGCTAAAGGTCCTTACAACAAAGCGAGCGGTTTCCCGGCAGGCAAACGCCACGGTGACCGGGGGTTCGGGTGCTGTTGACCAAGAGAACTCGGGGTGAAAAGGTGCAAAACCCCCTAGGGTGTGAATGGGGACAGCTGGCTGCGGACCTGCAGTGCTCTGGGGATGCTCCGGGAGTGCCCTGGGGTTTGGATGGTGCTTCGGCACAATACGGCTGTGCAGGGGAGGGGAGCGGGAGGGCTCCCGGGTGCGATGGTCACAACCAGGAGGGGGCACTGACATGGTGCTGTGTCCCCACCGCGTCTCCTCCGTGTCCCAGCCCCCTTTCCCCCCATCCCACTCCCCCCAAGATGGATTTAGAGGGAAGGAGGGGCGAAACCCGCAGCTCGTGATTCATCCCTACTATATTCGCGCTTATTATTAGAATGATGAAAACACAGTCGGAGCTGGAATCGCAGATGTAGGAAGCAGGGCTGCCACTCTGGGCTGCGCAGCCGATAGCTCTGGTGCTGCAGGATTCCACCTAGCGAGCAGCGGGGCCGTGCAGGTGGATGCATGGGGTCCTGCGGGGACAGCTGCATTGGCTACCCTCCCTTCAGGACGCGGGGCTCAAACCCCACACCTGTAGTCTCGGTGCTGCAGGAAGCTCGGAGTGACGTGGGATGCAGCACACAGAGCGTCAGTCCTTTGGGACCGTGAAACAGTGGGTGACCCCCACCGGTCCCCAGAGAGGTGACGGCACCCCTATTTCCATCTCTGGCCTCACGGGGAACATGTGGGAGGTATTTTTATCCCACTGCCAGCTCCCTTAGTCACCGATGCTTGCTTTAAATGGGTCAAGAGGGAATAAAGCTGCTGCAGCCCTGGTCTGTCTGGGAGCACACGCACCCGCAGCAGCCCTGCAGAGCCAGGAGAGCTCTGCCCCGCTTGGGCAGCATCAGCCCCAATTAACATCTCATTAAAGCCCAGCGGTGGGAGAGGGGTGACACATTTTTGGGGAGCAGGATTGCCACACACACTGGGCCAGAAGGATGCAGTGGGATGGGTCTAAGTGTGCAGGGAGAGCCCCCGGGTTTGCATCTGTTGCCAGCGTGGGTGCAACGAGGCACAACAGCGTTTGACATCGGTGACCTCAAAATTGCAGTGATACTCCAGGGATGTGGGAAGACATCACTGTGAACTGGTGACACTGTGACACGGTGACAGCCTGGTGGGGATGTTCATCCCATTGGGAGGGCAGGAAGCGGGCGGGGAGCAGGGCCACGGCATCGTGCCCTGAGGAGAAGCAGCAGGAAATGTCTTCTGATGTGGAAGATGGTGGAAGGGCTGCTCAGGTGTTGCTAATTCTCCAAACCTCATGGAGCAAAGCAGTGCTTCAGGGCAGAGCTGACTTGCAGGTCCACATGGGGTTACCAAAGGCCAGAAAGCAGCTGCCAAGAGTTGGAGGTGGAAAAGGTAGGAAGAGACCACTAAGATCACCTGGTCCAACTGTCAGCCCATCCCCACCATGCCCACTGACCATGTCCACATCTACATGGTTCTGGAACACCTCCAGGGATGGTGACTCCACCACCTTCCTGGGCAGCCTGTGCCACTGCAGCACTGCTCTTTCTGAGAACTTTTTCCTAGTATACAACCTGAAATTCCCCTGATGCAACTTCAGGCTCTCATTCTACTGCTGTTACTTGGGAGCAGAGGCTAACCCCCACTTCGCCACAACGTCCTTTCAGGTCATTATCGAAAGTGATGAGGTCTCCCCTGAACTCTTTCCCAGAATGAACAATGCCAGTTCCCTCAGCTGCTCCCCATTACACTTGTGCTCCAGACCCCTCACAGCTCCACTGCCGTACTCTGGACACACTCCAGGGCCTCCGTGTCTTTCTTTAGTGAGGGGCCCAGAACTGAACACAGCACTCGAGGTGCAGCCTCTCCAGAGCTGAGTACAGAGGGACGGTCACCTCCCTGCTCCTGCTGGCTGCGCTATTGCTGATACAAGGCAGGATGCCGTTGGCCTTCTTAGCCACCTGGGCACAATGCTGGCCCATAGTCAGCCAAGTGTCAAACAACACCCCCTGATTCTTTTCCTCCATACAGCTTTCCAGCCACTCTGCCCCAAGCCTGTAGCAACCTGGGGTTGTTGTGACCAAAGTGCAGCACCCGGTCTTGCTGAACTTCATCCCGTGGGCCCAGCAATACAGCCTGTCCAGGTTGCTGTGTAGGGCCCAAGTAGGAACTTTCTACCAGATCAGACAGGGCTGCATGCAGGCATCTCCCCACAGTGCCCTGGCATGGCCACTGTGCCCGCAGAGCTCTGCCGGTCTGCCACGGAGCCGGCACACCGCACGCTGTTCCTGGCCATATGGCTCCAACCTGAGCCCAGTGAGCTCAGGCGGATGGGATCGCTCTGCTGCCTCCTGCATCCCCAGTGCTGGAACGTCGCTCTGTGTGCGGATGCTGGTGTGATTCCCAGGGGATCTGTGGGTCAACACCAGAGGGACATATGGGGTCTGTCCCTCTCCCCCCCATGACACAGTCAGGTTTAAATGCTGTGCAGAACACACTGTATGCATTTATTTTCTTTTTTAAAAAAAAAGCTCTTGCTTTGAACAAATTCCCTCCCGACTCCTCAAGAAACTGTTTGGGTTTGAACCCGACGCCGTTGGGAAGCGGGGAGTTTGCACATCTCGACTTCAGAATGTTTGCAATTATCATTTTAATGGCAAACGCACATATGCTCCCGCAGTGTATATAGGGCATTGCGCGGTGCGCTTCCCCGCAGCCCATTCCCAGCCTCAGCACTGAGCGCAGGCGGGGGAATAACACCCATCTGTGTGTGTAGGGCCGGGAACGGGGCTGCCATCCCGAGCGTTTGCCCAAGGCCAAGAGGTGACATCGAGAACACCGTGCTATGGCTCTGCGTATTGACGCCCCTTGGATGAGGAGCCCGATGGAGCCCCAGCCACCGCGATTTGGGGCCGCAGCCCCCATGGGAATGCTGGCAGGGGCCGGCACCGCAGCTCCGCCCTTCCCTGGCGGTGGGGCTCTCCCCGCGGCCCCGCTCCCCTCGTCCCCCCGGGGGGCTCCGGAGCTGAGCGGCGCGGGAGGGGCGCGGGGCGGTCCCCACCCGACGGGGCGGGCCGGCACGGTGCCGCCCGGCGGGGCGGGCGGGCGGGCGGCGAAGCGCTGCTGCAGGAGCTTCTCCGGTTTCCCCGCCGAGCCGTGCCTTGCCGCCTCCCTCCTTCCTCCCTCCCTTCCCGGTGCCGAGGGCTTTTCGCTCCTTCGCTCTTATTTTTTCTTTTCCCTTTCTTCCCTCCCTCTCTCGGTGCCGGCAGCGCGGCGGGGATGGGGCGACCGAGGGTTTCCGCTGCTCCGAACCGCTGCCCTCATCCCCGCCCCGGCCGGGGGCTCTGCCCCAGCCCTGAGCCCCGAACCCCGAACCCTTGAACCCCCGAACTCCCGAACCTCTGCATCCCGCACCTCAGAACCCCATTGGCCGTTTCTGGGGGAGCAGAGACGGAGGTGCACTTTTTTCCCCCACTTCTTAATTTTTTCCCCTTTTTTTTTCCTCCCTTTTTGCATCCCCTCCTCGGGACTTCCCCCCAGCCATGGGGCTGCTCCGGGGGGGCCCTCGCTGGGCAGGCAAGCAGCTGTAACCCTCCCCACGGTGCACGGAGGAACGGGGGGGGGTCCTCCAGTGGAGCAGCGCTCGGTCTTCTGGGGGGTGGCCATGGCCCCCCGGAGCCGTGGGCGGATGGAGCGGAGCTACGTGGTGGGCATCTGCTGCCTGGTGCTGCTAGAGCGGAGCTGGGGTGCCGAGCCCGGCACTGGGGACGGCGGTAACAGCAGCCGGGCACCGGCGGTGGAGGACACGGCCCCCGCGCCCACTGAGCCCATCCCAGGAGGGGACCGTTGCCGCGGGTATTACGACGTGATGGGGCAGTGGGACCCACCATTCAACTGCAACGCCGGCATTTACCAGTACTGCTGTGGGACCTGCGGGTACCGCTTCTGCTGCCAGTTCAAGGCCAGGCGGCTGGACCAGAGCGGCTGCTCCAACTACGACACCCCCAACTGGGTGAACACGGGGCAGCCGCCCGCCCGTGTGGATGAGAGCCCCGAGGGCCCCACCCGTGACAAGACCAACATGATCGTCTACATCATCTGCGGCGTGGTGGCCATCATGGTGCTGGTGGGCATCTTCACCAAGCTGGGCCTGGAGAAGGCACAGGGCCCCCAGACTGAGATGACGGTCTCCAGGTAAAGGGTCTCGTTCGGTCCTCCTACCTCCCCCAGCCCCATGCACAGGGTGAGCCCCACTGTCACTCCGTCCCCAAGGGAATGAGAGAGTCCCCAGACCCTAGCATGCAGAGGGGTAGTGGTGGCAGCTATGTGTCACTCGTCCTCTTCATCCCTCATTCCCTCTGTCCCTCATCCTCCCCACCTCTCCACCCCTCTGTCACTTATTTCTTCTGTCTCTCATCCCCTCTGTCATCCCCTCCATCCTTCATCCCTTCCCTTCCTCATCCCTTCTGTCTCTTGTCCCCTCCATCCCTCATCCCCTGTCTCTCATCCCTTCTGTCCCTCATTCCCTCTATCTCTTGTCCCCTTTACCCTTCATCCCCTCTATCCTTCATCCCCTCCTTCCCTTGTCTCCTGTATCTCACATCCCCTCCATCCCTCACTCCCTCCACTCCTTGTCCACTCACTCCATCTCTCGTTTACTCCATCCCTCATCTCCTCCATCCCTTATCCCCTTCATCCCCGACTCAGTGCTGTCCCTCTGTCCCCAGCAGCTGATGTGGGCAGAGCGCTTGTTGTTGGAAGTGGCTTTTTGCCTGCATGTGTGCCATGTACCCTGGTGGGATGTCACTCCCAGGGAGGGGACCCAAGCTGCACACCATGGGGTTGCCAGCCCCTCACTTCTCATGTGAGCTCCTGCGCCAGGCAAACGGTTTTTGTCCTGTGTCTGCCCCGAAATCATGGTTTTGGGCAGCTGCTGGGGAGGAATGGGCACAGGGACAAGGAGGACAGGGACAGGCAGGGCTGGTGGCTGCAGTCCCCTTGCTCCCTCCTTGCATTATGTTCCTCCACTCAGGTTGATGTTTCTCTTCCCCTTTTTCCTTTTTTTTTTCCCTTTCACTTTTCTCTCCCGATGATCACATTCAATGAGTTTAACACTTCTCAGCAGCTGACAGCAGCCACAGCCCCCCCCGGGTACAGCCCTGCCCCTGCGGCTCTGACTCAGAGCTGCCCTCTTTGTCCCCCCCCAGCACACGTGTGTGCACACACATAAACACATCTTCCTAGGCTTTTATTCTGGGCATGGCAAGGAAATTATTTCACTGGGATGATGCTCTAGTTGCATCCACCACCTCAGAGACCTGCATGGGGACCTGCTTGGGGACACCTAGCCCTGGCTCTATTCCCATCCCTTCTCGCTCCACCAGGTGCTGTGGAATTTGTTGTCTCTCCCAGTTCTGTGCACCCCCTTCCAAGGATGCACTCCAGTTCCTGCCAGCATGCTCCAGCATGGGGAACATGCGGCTCATTGCCCAGCAGATCCTTTTTTCCCTGAGGCTACTGATTTTTTTGGACATCACCATATGGAGCGGGAGGAGGCGAGCTTCCCTTGGGTGCCTCTCAGGGACAAATCCAGGAGCCTGCCTCTGTGCTGGCACGATCTGGGGTCTTGTGCATCTGTGGCTGATGGTCCCAGCCAGGTGCCACCATCTCCTCTGTCCTGATGTGAGGTATCTCATTTGGGCACCGTATCTCCACCTGCCTCTCGCTGTGCATGCGCACTACGACCTCACGTCCCGCCTGATGCCGCAGGTTGCAGCTTCTCATTTGCTCCTCAGAAGCTGCAGCATGGCCTCGGGCCAGCTCCCTGTTGCATGGCCTCGACAGTTCCTGTTCCCATCCACCCATCCTTCCACCCATCCTTCCGCTCATCCACCCATCCATCCCATTTTGCCACTGTTCTTCCACACCTGGTGCAGCTCACACTCGGTGTGGTCCACCTCAAACACAGCTTCTTCTCCAGGCTCTCACAGCTGGGTCCAGAGAGAGGTTCAGGCACCTAAAACACTGCGGTTCCCCCATGTCCTTGTGCCTCTGCAGGTCTGTATGGCGGCTCCGCCAGGCTCACTCCTTCCTACTCGGCTAGCACTTGGCACTGTCCCCATGCTCGCTCGGCATGCCCAAGGCTCTGTGAGTCAGGAACACCTGCCCATGTTTTTCTTGAGGCTGCCGATGTTGGGGTCCTTTCAGGGCAGGGGGATCTGCTTGTGTCTACCACATGAGGACATCCTCATACAGACCTACAGAAGGCCCACGGAGAGGGGTCTGGGGGCTCTGTAGAAAAGCCAAGGAACAGGCTGGGTTTCTCTGTGCTTTCTGGGATCCCAACCCTGCTGGATATTCCTGGTATGGCCCCAGCCCCCATCTCCAGGGATACCCAAACAAGCCCCCATGGTGAGGTCCCATGCTATCACCTCTAATTTTTGCACCAGTTGCTCAGGGACACCAAGTGTGGCTCATGCGATGGAGATGTCACCATGTTCTTCCTCCCTGCCCCAGAACTTTCCTCTCTGCTCACTCCTAGAGCTCATATTAGGATGGTTTTGGGGGTGCAGGTTGTGTCCATTGGCTAGATCTTCCAGGTGGGGTTGTGCACTGCATCCAGGTTGCCCAGGGCCCACCCAGCACCACGGCCAGCACCCACAGCCACGGTGATGGATGGAGACCTCACTGGGCTCACCAGTACTTTATTGCAGATAGGAAAATGAGCTGATGTGCCCCACAGTCCTCACCTCAAGCTGCACTCTGACGCCATCCCAGACCTTTAGGTGAACTAAGTCAATGCGACTTGAGCCTCCCCAAACCCCCTGAATAGGGTCAGTGTCCTCCAAAACCACAATGGGGAGCCCTCCAGGGTCACCTCTTGTGCTTGAGGCTTGTGGATGGGAATGGAGCTGCTCTCACTCTTACTGTCCGGGCAGTTGGGGCCAGGGGCAGGTTTGTGGAAAAGAGCACTGACGGATTTAACTGGAGAGGAAAAGTCGCAGCAAAAGGACTGCTCGAGCTTGGTAAATAGACCCGAGGAAAAAAGAAAAAAAAAAAAAAAAAGAAATAGGTCAAATCGCATCGGACCTCCCGGTGAAACGAGCCTGGGTGAGTGCTGGGCCCTGGGGACACGCAAGGGAGGCAGCAGCTGACAGCGCGGCAGCTCCCGCAGTGACAGCCACAGCCCCCCGAGCCGCCGGCCCTGTGTGCTGCCTGGCATCAGCCCCAGGCTGCTGGGCCATGCTGGTACAGCCCCATGGGCTGGGAGTTCTGATGGGGAGAAGGCTAGGCTGCAGGAAGCTGATGGATCTTTAGGAGGAGATGGTTTATGGGGTAGAGAGACCTCTGTGCAAAGCCCAGTGCTGATGGAGGCTCAGGTGATGGGCTGAGGTGGGCAGGGAGCTCTGGGTCTGTCTGCTCCCTCCAGTGTGCCCAGGTGGCTCTTGGAGCTCTGCAGGAGACAGCTCTCCAGGTGCAGCCTCACCAGTGCTGAGGAGAGTGGAAGGACAACCTCCCTCCACCTGATGGCATCTCTCAGCCTAATGCAGCCCATCAGCTTTCACTGCGATGAAGGCATGAGCCTGGTGTGCCACCCCAGGACCAGGGCTGAAGGCCACACTGCTGTGTGTTCCCTGCTGTGGGATGGCCACTATGTCACAGCGGTGCTGCAGCATCCCCAGGCGTGAATAGTAAATGGCAGGGTGCTGCATCTTACGTAACGGTGCTTAATGTTTAATGCTATCGCTTACTGGGTGGACGCAGTGCATGGCAACACCAGAGGCCACTGGCGCAGCCTCTTTGCTACAGAGGGGTGACCCTCTTCCCTCATTTCCCTAGGGCCTTCTCTGCTCCCAAATGGCTCCAGTGAGGGGGCTGCCCCTTCTCCCCAGAGCTTGCGGTGTGGGGCAATAGGGACACCTGGACTGGGATGGGGGATGTAGGCATCGCCTAATGACCCTGTGCTCCTGTGCTCCTCCCCAGGACTCTCACTGACCTGCTGAAGCAGCCAGGCCACGGCCCCTCCGAGCACATCGACGGCCTGATGGGCAGCATGCAGGTGCAGCTGGGCGAGGGGCTGCCCCGGGGACCCCCGAGGAACAGCACAGGTAAGGCATAGGCTCCCCAGTCCCTTCTCAGAGCCTCTCTGAGGTGCCAGCGTGCTGCTGGGCATGCTGCTGCCCGTGGGGGAAAAAGGCAGAGGCATCTAAGAGGGCTCTGCACTCCCCTGAGCCCTCACCTCTGCCCCCCAGACAAGTTGCCCCTGAACAATGCGGTGGACAGCACTGGTGTCACCCCACTGGGGCGTTCTCACGGCCACAGCAAGCGCCCGCCCCTCAGCAGCAGCCTGAGCCCACCAGCCCCCAGCTACACTGCCTACACCACGCTCACGGCTGGAGGTGAGCGGGGAGTGGGAGGGCACGGGGGCATGGCGGGGAGGGAGCAGTGCACAGGATCCTCCCATGGACCCCTAGCACTGCCCAGCCAATTAGTGTCCAGGTTCTCCCCCATGGACCCATTGCCAACCAATCAGTGCCCATTATCCGCCCCATGGGCACTGTCAATCAGTTAGTGCCCAGGATCCACTCTTCATAGACCAACTGCCAGGCCAATCAGTGCCCAGCGTCCCCCTTATGGACCCACTGCCCAGCTAATTAGTGCCCAGGATCCATCCCCCATGGACTGCTCCGCCAGTCAGTATCTAGGATCCCTCTCCATGCATGCACTGTGTTCCCCAGCCAATCACCATGCAGACTCCTGCCCAGACCTGCAGCACCACCCAATCAGACAGCAGGATCCCCCATGGACATTCCACACTGCTCAGCCAATCAATGTCCAGGATCCCTCTCTACTCTCCTAACCAATCAGCAGCTAGGATCCACTTCCCAGCCAATCAGCACCCAGAAGACCCCCAATGTCCCCCTCCAGACCCAACACCATCTCCCAGCCAATCTTTCCCTGCCAAGGGATGGGGTGCCCCGGGGGGTTGACACCAGTGTCCCTGTCCCTGCAGAGAGCATTCCTGAGGACTTCTACATGCGTTTTGGGGAGCCAGATGTGCCTCCCACCAGCACTCTGCCCTTCCCATCCACTGAGGGGCCCGAGAGCTGCCCCCCACCAGGGGTCACCAAGGCCAAGGGCCTCCCCAAAGCGCCAGGGGGCTCTGCCTTCCCAGGGGGCTGGGAGGGAGGCCTCCCCCGCAGCCTACGGCGGCCTGGGCCCACGGCACCGCTGTATGGCCAGGCTCACCGGCACCTGGCCACCAACAGCAAGACTGAGGTCACCGTCTGACACCAGGACCAGCAAGGTGCCATCACCAGGGGACAGGCAACGAGTTGTGGCTGTTCTCAGCTCACTCCATGGATGGGCAATGGACTTTAGCAGCATCCTGGCTGCACAGCCTCGTGTCCCCCCTTCCCCACCACCCAGCTTCCCCATTGTTAATAAACACATGGAAGTGTACAGCCTCGTGTAGCTGCACTATGGGGATGGAGAAGAGCAGGGCATGGCGGTGACACCACCTTTATTGGGTGAGGGAAGTAGGCTGCCAACAACAGCTCCCTTCCACCCAAAATCAACAAAAAAGTTACAGTATATACACACACATATAAAAACTGTAGGGATAGATGGGCACAGAGGGTGGGAAGAGTAGAAAAAGGGGGGCAAAGAGTCCCCAGAGAAGGAAAAGCACTGGGTGGTCTCAGCCCCTCATATAAGGGACAAGAAGAAGGCTGAGGGCCTCCAGATCCTCCTCCCCATTTACTGAAGTACAAAACTGACCCCCGGGCAATGGGAAATAACTGGGAGGTCGCAACAGGTCAGAGCTGCTGTATTTTAGTAAAGGAAGCAGATAGGAAGTGGAGGAGGATGCAACTCCTGGCAGGAGTACAGATAATCCAGGAGCCCTATGCTGGGCTTTGTGGGGACAGGAAGTGCCCCTGTGAAGGGGGAGGGAGGGCACCATGGGGTGCTATGGAGGTGATAGCACTTCTCCCATGTTGGGACCCCAAAGCCACATCCTGTGCAAAAGGACAAGGGCTGCGAACTGCTTGCCAGGCCCCGGGGGTGCAGGGGGCGGGGGACAGGCTCAGTTCTGAGACTGGGAACTGAATAAAATAAACCATTTCTAACAGTTTCACCTGCACCGACATGAAGGCACCACAGCCAGCAGCCTCTGCTCCCACCACCTGTGGGGACTGGCCACAACCCCACCTCACTGAAATGAGGAGGAAGATGGAGAAGAGGGGGGCTGCTGTGTCAGTCCCTGTTTGGTAAAGCCACAAACGCTCCTATTAAAAAACAGCGGTATAAAAACGGTACAGAAACCCACCACTGGCCCCCGCTGATGATCCCAGTAGGATCCCAGTCCAGAGGACATCAGCACCAGGCCCCTATGGGCAACCCCAGCACAGCCACTGGGTGTCCCTACTATAGTGCCCCCAAAAAGTGCAGGGGCAATAAAGCCACACCTAGGGCAAGATAAAAAAAAAAAAACAACAAACCCTCCCACTCCCACCCCAGCATGATCCCACTGGCATGGCCCTAACCTACACAGCACTGATTTTTTTTTTTTCCTTTTTTTTTCTTTTTCTTTTTTTTCTTTTCTTTTTCCCTCCCTCTCTTTTTTCCTTGCATTTTTTCCCTCCCCTTCCTTCTTCAACAAGGAGGAAGTCCGGGCTGGGCGCTGGTGAGGTGTTAGGAGGCAGCGATGGCTGTGCCCCCACTCAGCTTGACAATCATCTGTTGGCAGTCGTTGCACGAGCGCTTGTCCCCAACCTTCTCCAGCGTGCGTGCAGCCTCGGCCAGCAGGACGGCACGCTGGCTGGGCGAGGATAGAAAAGAGAGTGGGAGGTGGCGGCAGGCCAGCAGGATGGCGGTGGCTCTTTCCCTCTGCCCTGGCAGTGTGTCCAGCTCCCCTGCAACCAGAACAGAAAAGAGCTACGGGAGCTGCTCACCCCAGGGAACTCCTTTTGCAGAGTCTCAGCTATGGGGGTGATCACAAGATCATTAACACTGGAAAAGACCAATAATATCATCTAGTCCAACCACCCAACTACCACCAATATTGCCTACTAAACCATGTCCTCAGTGCCACATCTACCCTTTGCTTGAACACCTCCAGGGATGGTGACTCCACAACCTCCCTGGGCAGCCTGTGCCAGTGCAGCACTGCTCTTCTGGAGAAAAAATTGTTCCTAATGTTCAGCCTGAACCTCCCCTAGCGTAACTTCAGGCCATTCCCTCTTGTCCTATTGCTGTTATCCATGAGTAGAGCCTGACCCCCACCACAACCTCCCTTCAGGTTGTTGTAAAGAGAGACAAGGTCTCCCCTGAGCTCCTCTTCTCCAGACTGAACAACCCCAGTTCCCTCAGCTGCTTCCCATTAGACTTGTGCTCCAGACCCCTCACAGCTCTGCTGCCGTACTCTGCACACACTCCAGGGCCTCCATGTTCTTCTTTTAGTGAGGAACCCAGAACTCAACACAGCACTGGTGCCAAGTACAGAAGACGGTCACCTCCCTGCTCCTGCTGGCTGCACTATTGCTGATACAAGCCAGGATGCCATTGGCCTTCTTGGCCACCTGGGTACACTGCTGGTTTGTGTTTAGCTGAGCATCAACCAATACCCCCAGATCCTTTTCCTCCATGTAGCTTTTCATCTACTCTGCCCCAAGCCTGTAGAGCTGCATGGGGCGACCGAAGTGCAGGACCCAGCACTTGGTCTTGCTGAACTTTATCCCACCGGCTCAGCCCGGAGATCCAGCCTGTCCAGGTTCCTCAGTAGGGCCTTCCTACCCTCAGGCAGATTGACACTTCCTCCCAAGTTAGTGTTGTCTACAAACTTACTGAGGGTACACTCGATCCCCTCATCCAAATAATCAATCAAACTGGATCGGCCCCAATACCAACTCCTGGCTGAATCTACACAGCACCCAATAGCCATGGCCAAATGCAGCTCCCCATGCTGACCTTGCTTGCTGCTCTGGGTTGTGCGGCGCCTGAGACTGTGTTCCAGCAGCTGGTGGGTGCGGGTAGGGCTGGCCCCTGCCATCAGGCGCACGGTAGCTTCATGAAGGAAGACCTGGAGGGACAGCAGGGTGGGTGGTTAGGGGTGGGTTGGAGGCAGCCCTCAGCTGTGTCAGCAGCACAGTGCTGACACCCTGACAACAAGCAGAGCCCACATCCACCTGCCTGCAGTTTGCAGGTCAGGGCAAGAGGGAGGAAAGACAGAAAAAGTTGGGAGGAAAAAAAAAAAAGCACAAATTGCTTTTGACATGTAACTGAGCAACCTGGAAAGGGAGACGGCTGAATCGCCAGAAAGAGGGCAGAAAATAGAAGAGCAGACGCAGGTGGTGCTCTGCTCTTTCTTTCCCCGCTTCTGCCAGGAGCAAGGGCCAAAGCTCACCTTGCGGTATGCAGGCCTGAAACTGTGGGCCAGCTTGCGCAGGCTGCCGAGGTCGCGCTGGAAGCCAGTGAGCTCAGAGGGTGAGGCGTGGTAGGTCTCACCCAGCGCCTGGCTGCTGCTCGCCTGCTTCTGCCACAGGCTGGTGCGGAGGGACAGCAGCAGGTCACAGGCCAGCAGCTGGATCACCTGCGGGAGCCACAGAGCAGACAGCGCTCAGCACCAGGCGAGGAGCACAGCAGCACAGCACAGCTCGCCAAATCCCTTTTCCCCATCTGCTGCTGCCCCCTAGCAACGCTTGCTGTTCCAGTTGTCCTTCAGAGAGTACCTGCTCTGATGAATGGAAAGCGCCTCTGTACTGCACTGCAGGAACATTGCACAGTTACTGCCAGCACATGCAATGCAACTACAATGCACTACAGCTGCCACTCAGGAGCGACAGGGACATGAGCTGTCCCCATACGCTGTGCAGGGAAGCTCCAGCCTGAGGTGATCCTGGAGAGAAGAGAAACAAGCAACACACGTCCTCAGGAATAGCACAGCACCGTCCCACTTATGCAGGAGAGGGTTCTGATGCTGCCTGAAATGGAGTAGCCCTGACATAATGAGGTCCCTTCTCACCGGTGGCAGCAGCTGCCCCTGGCTGGACAAGATGGAGGTTTTCTGCAGGCCAAAGTGGTCAAAAAATGAAATGCAGCAGAGAAGAGGTGGCAGGTACTGGAAGCAAACGACAGCACCTGCAGCACTGCTCCTCTGTACAGCAGGGACGGAAAAAATGCCAATGCCCTTTAGAAGGAAAGGGTGAAAGCATCCCCCATATTCCTATCAGACTCAGGATGAATGGAAAAAACAGACACAACGAGGCCACGACGGAGCGCACACCGCCTGCAGTACGCAGCCCTTACATTGCTGAGGGGAGTGCTGGAGGCACCACTGCTCATGTTGAGGCTGTTCCACAGGTGGCTGCTGGCCCTCTCACAGTGACCCAGCGAGCTCTGCTGCCCATCCGCCTTTGACGACAGTGAGGCCTGCATAGCTTTGCACAGGTGGAAGGTGGCTTTCACCAGGGCGTTCCTGGAAGAGAAAGAGCCCTGCCTTCAAGTACTGCATTGGTGTCACCTGCTCCACTCCATAAGGAGGAATTTCTTCCTTATTTCTCACCTAAACCTACCCTCCTTGCGTTTGAAGCCATTAACCCCATGTACTATTACTACATGAGCCTATAAAAAAAATAATCTCCCTCCGTCTTTCTTAGAAGCCCACCCTCAGCACACAGGGAGCCCATGGCTGCGCAGCACAGGCTGCAGCCTAGAGAAGGAAGAGTGGGAGTTCAGGAGCAGCATTACGCACTCAGACATCTCCAGGGATTTTGGCAGGCGTTCCACTTCGCTGAAACGTGACCTCACAGCTGTGTCATCCCCTCTGAGCCAACCAATGGCCATAGCGACTGCTGCCGACCACCACCTGCACACCACGTCTGGGCCTACAAGAATGGAGTCAAGGGTTAGAACCACAGAACCAATTAAGGCTGGAAAAGACCTCTAAGATCACTGAGCCCAACCGCCAGCCCACCCCCGCTATGCCCACTGACCATGTCCTCAGAGCCACATTCACACGGTTCTGGAACACCTCCAGGGATGGTAACTCTACTACCCCCCTGTGCCAGTGCAGCACCGCTCTTTCTGAGAATAATTTTTTCCTAATATCCAACCCAAACCTTCCCTGTCACAATTTGAAGCCGTTCCCTCTTGTTCTATTGCTGTTACCTGGGAGAAGAGGCCAACCTCACCTCGCTACAGCCAGAACTTACTCCATCTGCTTGTCTAGAAACACTCATCCTGACAAGGCTCTGCACTCACCACCCCAATCCATCAGCTCCTCCGTTATTCAGCATTCTACCCAGAACACCCCAACGTCAACCTATGGCCAAAGGATACACAACCTGCTGCCCGGAGCTATCTTTAAGTTTCATGGCAATATTGACTCAAATACAAGATTTCCCTTCCAACCGAAAGGCATCCCCTAGGAAAAGGGATATTCAGTTTCCCCACTGTGTTTGCTCTATGGATTTTGAGAGCACCAGCAGCACCATAGTGAATGGCCAGACGCTGTCTACATCCAACACCAAGTGAGATGAATTCCCCACTGCTTGTTTATAGGCTGTGCTCCTCCCCTCACTGTGCATCAGGGAGTGCTGCTCCATGGTCAAACATCCCTCCACCACCACAGACTGCATTTCAGCCAGGCTTGGAGCTTGAAAGCTGGGGAGACATGTGACAGCAGCACTTCCTGCAGCTAGTGGAGTTTCAGCTCAGTCAAACTTACCCAGCGCTGATTTCAGCATAGTACTGCTGGCAAAGGGTGGTGCTCCACTTCCCATTGAGTCCAGGAAAGAGTTGAGCAATTTCAGGTATTCCATCGCACTGGAGAACTCACTGAAACAAGAAGCAAGGCAAAGCTTCACTATGCCATCAAGAAGGAGGCACCAAGGCCTGGAGGCATTTCCGATCAGTCATAACATGTCTTTAAACAAGGCTGACCCATTACAGCAGAGGGTGGAGGCAGAAACTTCAGGCTCTACCGGTATCACAACACTGTCAGACCTGAAGAGACCTCCAGAGAGTGGGAGTATATGGACCAGTTTGAGGAGTACCACCACATCTGCCTGTGTGCACATTCCAAGACCTGCACTGCAGCTACAGAGATGATGGTACTTACAGTGGACTTTTGTCAGGGTTTTTGCTCCCTAATTAAGGGACAGGGGAGCAGGCTGTGCCCAAGTCCTTCACTAAAGGTGGCACCACTCTCCAGTGAGGGACCACTCTGCATACACCACGAAGCAGATTAACTCGTGTAATACACATTTCAAGTGAAGGATGATCCATGTTAGCACTTAGTCAGCACCCCACGTTCTGCAGACACTGAGCAGAAGCCGCCAGCATCCCCTCCAGTGCTTTAAATCTGCTGATGGACATATGTTATGAGTTGATTACAGGCTCCTTTTCAATCACTGCCTCCAGAAGAAGCTGAAGAATGTTTTTGCAAGTGACTATTTGCATATATGCAAATATATATGAATGCAAGTGACAGAGTGGCAATGATCTAATTTCCTTGGACATGCTACAGAGCAGGATCTAGAGCTCCTTCCCCTAGAGGGGGAAAAAACAGCTCCCTGCATTAGGAAAGCCAGTCCTT